TGTATTTTTTTGTTTCATTGTGGATAAATACACAGAACATAAAAGTTACCATTTTAGCCACTTTTAGAGGTACAGTTCAGTGGGAATTTATGTCATTGTGTAGCCCATCACTACTGTCTATCTCCAGGGTTTTTCTTTCTGAGAAGGATTTGTTAAGTTACAAAAAGCACCACTGTGGATGCTATTGCATTACTCCAAATGAAAGATGATGGTTACTTGGGCTAGAGTGGTAACAGTGAAGGTGGAGAAAAGTGGGTGGATTTGGGATGTGTTTTGGCAGAGAACAGGAACTGTGCATAACTTGGATGGGGTGAGGGGAAAACAAGGAATCAAGGGCAACATGTAGGTTTTTTGCTTGAGCTGTGAGATAAATCATTTACCATTTATCATCAAAAACTACTTACCATTTGGTGGTGATGGGGAGGATAAGTGGAGGAAGAATTTGGGGAGAAAAAAGAAAGAATTCTGTTTTGGACAGTTTGAAAGGCCTATTGGACAGCCAAGTGGAAGTGTTTCAGTAGCTGTTGGGTAGATGGGTCTGGAAAGATTGTGGCTGGTGGTACAACTTTGGGATCACTAACATATAGATCTTTAAAACTGATTTATTAGGATTAGATTCAGCTGCTTTACACAGAAAATAGATAATGGCTTAACTATGCATTGATTCCATAGGTAAGCAGGCCATGGCTGGTACGGAGCAGCTCCGTGAGTATCAGGGACTCCTCTGTCTTGCTGTTCTGCCAACTTAGCATGTTGCCTTATGGCGGAGATGGGCTTTAATTCCATCTACCACCTGCTCTAGCAAGAGGGGAGGCTGAAAAAAGGCACATACTTTTCTTTTTAAGGACATTTCTCAGAAGTCACACATGACACATCCACTGAGGGAGAGGTTGCAGTAAGTTACAGGATTATCAGAAACTGATAGAGACCTTAATTACTTGAACTTAATATGCATATAGAGTTAAAATCAGCTTAGCCTAAAGATGATTGTCCTGAAGGAAAAGGGACTAGATAATTTCCTCCCTTTAGACTATAGACGTAGCCTGGAAACTTGCTTATACCAGGAGGGTGGAAGAGTGGAAATTGGAACTCTAATTCTACACCACTTAGGGTTGTAGGGTTTGAATTCACATTGTTGTCATAATGCTGGGACATACAAGTTGAAAAATTCATACATTTGTAATACCTGTTTTACTTTGGCCAAGAAAATTTGAAATGCTATAGCCCAGAGCACATAGCATTTCCCCAAGAATTACTTCCACTGAAGATGAGCTCTCAAATATTACAAAGCACATAAGCAATCCATGAAGGATAGCCAGCCTAATCATTAGAAATAGTGGTCCAACAGACTTTAAGTATGTTTAAAGTGTACAGCAAGATTTAGAGACCACATGTACCAGTTTTTTTGCTGCATTTGTAAACTATACCAAAGCCTAGTAGCTTAAACAGCCATTTATTATTGCTTACAAGTCTGTGGGTTGAATTTGGGATTTGTAGGCTTAGCTACAGGCTAGTCAGTCTGAGATGGCCTCACATGCCCAGCAATTGGTACTAGCTGTTAGTTGGTACTGGTGGCTGGGCTGATGGGGATATTGGGCAACATTGCTCTTGTCATCCAGCAGACTAAGCTGGGTGTTTATGGTGGTGGCCACAGGGTTCCCAAGAGCAGCGAAGACAGAAGCCTCAGTGTGCAAGGGCTTCTCAGGTCTTGGCTTGCATCGTGTTTCTATTGTCTTATGGACGCAGTCAATTGTAAGGCCAGTCCAGAGTCAGTATGGGGGGGAGGGGTCACTACCAAAGAACATGGAAATAGAAAAAGGAATAACTTGTGGCCATTTTTTAAAAATCTGCTATACTTTAAGCCAAAGCCGAATAGTGTGTAAAAAGAGCAAGCAAGTGTGAAAGTGAGCTGATTGGAAATTTTAGAAATAACAAAAAGTTATTGAAATACTCAGTGGATAGATTGACTGGGAAGCTAAATACAGCCAAATAAAGATTGGTCAATTGGAAAATAGATTTAGGGAAACAATCCGTAATGCATGTCAGAGAGAGAGAGAAAAAGGACGAAAATACAGAAGTTGAGATTAGAAGAGGAGGGACGAATAAGAAAGTCTGACATCTGTTGGGAGTACCAGAGGGAAAACAGAATGAGGTTCTACGTGACAGTTATTAAGAATATTGCAGGATTCAAGAAAGATACAAGCTCTGAGATTAAAGGAGCACACCAGATCCTGAGCAGGATATATAAAAACAAACCCATACCCAGACGTAAAGTAGAGAAGCATAAGAACATCAGAAGCAAAGAGATCTTTAAATTGCCAGGTGGAAGACAGTAATCATGCTAATGATAAGTAACATTTATTGAGTACTTACCATAGGCACTCTTGTGTGTGCTTTACGTGTGTTAACTCAGGTAACATTGATAACAATCCTTTAAAGTAGTCCTGTTATCATTGCCATCTTATAGATGAGGAAAGTGGGACACAGAGAGGTTAACTAGCCCATAATCATGTGTCTAGTTGTGTTTTTAAATGTATCCAGGATTTTGTTTTAGTCATGTATGGTAAGACTGACACAGACAGCTGCTTTGAAAGAAAATTTATTACAGTATTTTAGTTCCCAAGAGGAGGAGCATTTCACATCACCCAGAGCCACTGGGGGAAATGAGGGTTGGTCAGGAGGTGGAAGGATGTGAGGGGAAACCATGGGCCAGAGCCTTGTTATGGATTTCTAGGAAAGGAATGGATGAGACTGGATAGGCAAGCTGAACAAGTTTAGGACTGGACAGTTGGAGTGGCAGGCTCTGGGCTCTAGGGGTGATCCCTAGTTATCTGATACCGGGCCCTAGGCTGATTTAGGGCAGGGGGAATATTGGCTCGTTTTGTGATAGATAAAGGCCTTGTTTGGGAGTCTGGACTAAATTCTGGTTAGTTTGCAAAGGGAAGGTGTGCCCACAGTGGTTTTCAATCTCTAGGAATTAGCCCTGGAAGGGGCAGTCACCTCCTTGGTCCTCAAGGTCCCAAAATGTTAAAGCGTCATAAAATAAGACAATTCAAATTGGTGGAACTGGATTTGAAACTAGGTAGCATGCTTCTACAGAGAACACTCTTGATCTTATTACTATTAATTTACCTACAAAGAAACAAATTTCTCATGAGCAACTAGAAATATCAGATGAAATATCAGTGGAAGTGTCATTAATGTGCTGAAGGCAACCTGTTAATCTAGAGTTCTAAGTGAGCTGTTTTAAGAAAGAGGGTGAAATACAACTTTTTCAGATATGCTAAGGCTGAGGGTGCTGACTACACACAGGCCTTCATGAAAGAACTACGAGACGATATACCTTCATCAGGAATGACTTGAACCCAGAAGGAGGTTGTAGATGTAGGAAGCAATAAAAGAAATTGGCACAACTGTTGGTAAATATATATAGGATGTCACAAAAAACTGTATACACATTTTAACAGCTGATAGCTCAGTTTTGAAAATGAAATGTATTTTAATAAATACTGCCTTTATAATTATTCAAAGTGTGTGTGTACATATTTTTGGGACACCCTATACTTCAGAGAACATTGGACATCCAGTATTTAGGGAGAGGAGTGTGTGAAGGTTGAGAAGAGAAAGGTAGATCATGAATCAAGGTCCCCCTGGAAGTGAAGAGATTGAGATCTCGAAGGTCGACCTTTAAAACAGTGACCTTTATAAGTTTACCTGTTGCCTAAACTAGTTTGCTTAGTCATCAATTGATGTACTGGAACCACAAGAAAAAGTTTTAAAGCTTTTTGTTTTGTCCTATCTCTAAGAGGTATTTCTTATACGTGTACATCAAGTAGTTTCCTACTAATCTCTATAAAGCTGCTAGAAGTTTTTAATATGTTGAACCAAAGGACCATTTTCCACATGAATCCCCCAAGAGAGAGAAAAAAAAAGTCTCATCCACAGAGAATCTGATATGATTCTAGAATACTGAGCTGTTCTAGAAATTGTTGCATCATATTTAGATCATCTATACTCAGTTGGTGAAGTGGTAGAGCAACAGTTCTCCTTTGACAGGCTGCCCACAGTGAACAAGTGTCAAAGATTTTAAACAGTGTTGGGGACTGTCCTGAAGGAGCTGGAGAAAAGCTAAATACTTCCATGGGTCCTAAGTAGATCTTCCATTCAGAGTTGCTTTTCATTTCTGTAGGGCCTTCAGCCATCAAAGGTAAATAGAATATCTACTTATATGCATGTATACTTTCGAAAAGACATTAAAATTCTATATTCCTATATTGATATTCTTTATTATTATTAGAGAGGAAGGGAGAGAGAGAAACATCGTTTGGTTGCCTCCTGTATGTGCTCCAACCTGGGGATCTAACCTGCGAACTAGGTATGTGCCCTGACCGTGAATTGAATCTGCAACCTTTAGGTGCACGGGATGACGCTCCAACCAAGGGCGCCACCGGCCAGGGCAGATTCCTGTATTGATATTCTGATTAATAATCTGTGTTTTCCAGTTTCCTACTAATCATTGTTCACAATTGGGCATGGTTTGAAGAATAACCAAAGTGCTAGCAAAATACTCTAATAAGTCAGCTTTAAGTTTTTAAGGGAGAAACATATTTTTTAATTAAGGTTTTTTTCCTGCCCTAGCCAACTTTGGCTCAGTGGTTGGAGTGTCAGCCTGCGGACTGAAGGGTCCCGGGTTTGATTCCGGCCAAGGGCACATACCTCGGTTGCAGGCTCGATCCTCGGCCCCAAGGGGCCACATGCCAGAGGCAACCAATTGATGTGTCTCAATGTTTGTCTGTCTGTCTGTCTGTCTGTCTCTCTCTCTGAAAAGCAATGGAAAAAATATCCTCCGGTGAGGATTAAAAAAACCCCAAATTTTCCTGGTCTTGACAAATCTAACCCTGTGGGCAATCCACTGTGATTGTGATGTGTTCTTATGATTAAAATAAATGTTTTTAATTAGAAGTGAAACTAAATTTGTTATAATTGTTCTAAATATACAGAATGTCCCTGGCTGCTTATTGTGTCATCTGTTGTAGAAGAATAGGAACCTCAGCTCCTCCTCCAAAAAGCAACACATATTGGAAAGACATCAGTGAGTACAGTTTAAACAATAATACTTTCTTACAGAAAAAGGAGTATGCATGGCTCTCGGCTTACTAATTGGGGTGGACCATTACCCTGCAAAAGACAAACATCTCAGATTTATCATGAGTTAAATAAGCTTTTGTGGACCACCTTGGAAACTTAACCACCCTGGTAACAGGTTACAGTTTAGGGCAGGAATTGCAGTTTAGCAATCCTCTTGTCTTCCTCCTCCATCGTCTTAATTGTCTTCATGGACACAAGATTGTTGCTGAATCCCTGGACATCAAGAAGGCAGAAAGGCCAAAAGCCATCTTATGAGGCTTTGTCTTTTTATTTGGGGGAGATCCCTCCCTCTAGACTTCTGTCTTTATCTGACTGGCTACTACTGTGTTGCACAGCCATCTCTAGCCACAGAGGAGTCTGGGAATTAGACAGGAATCAGGTTGTGTTAGGAAGGATTAAGGGGTTTATGTGTATTGGATAGGCAGTTACCTGTGTTTGCCACTAGGTTTTTTTTTTACTATTTAAAAAAGTGTTTTCCAATTTCTGAACCAAGAAATTATAAGTAAACTTGTAGAATGTAATGTGTATTTAAAATGGGGCTATCAGTCAGAGAAAGACAATTATCGCATGATCTTACTCATATGTGGAATCTAATGAACAAAATAAGCCGATGAACAAAACAGATCCAGAGACATAGAAGCATGGAACAGACTGATGAATCTCAGAGGGAAGGCAGGGTGGGGGAGTGGGTGGGGAGAGATTAA